CTTTTATAACATTTTATATTCTAGTTCTAAATATTTTTTTGGTATAAATATAGTTATATATAGTTATTATTGAAGCTACATTAATGAAGATACAGTTAAAAATATAAATCAATATATTTGTAACGTAATACATATTATTTTCCATTTAAATATGATATTCATATTATTAATCTTATAAATAATTATATGATATACAATATTTGATGAATTTGAAAATATGTATGAGTGTTAGAAATACTAAATAGTAAAAATTGTAACAAGTAATGAATTAATAGCGTTTATTCGATTATATGCACGACAGCCCTATATCTATATATAGCGATACGTAGGGGTGGCGCGTGGGCACTAGCGGCCGAAATTCAACTGCAAATTTAACGGGTTAAAAAATAGGGGCGGGTTTAAAAAAATACTACATTAAAGTATAAGTCTCGAAGATCATTTTGCGCTTTTGAACGTTCCGAAAGATTTGGTAGGAGCTGAGATATGAATTTTTAAAGCTGGCAACTTTTAGCCACATTTCGACCTTAAATCGCCCCTAGCTCGAAAAGGAAGCGTTCTACGAAAAAATGTCAAGAGACAAAAAATGTTTATTTTTGCCAATTTACCTTAGAAAATTGTTTGCAGAGTGTTTATTTGCAATATTTTTATTTTGCAATTTTTTTGTTAATAACAAATTACCTGCCACTCGGACACAAAGATGTTACTTAGGTTTTTTGTTCGCAATAACTCAATGCTTCGATTACAAAAGGTTTCATCCTGGCCTCTCCTCGTGGTCGGTGACCTTGATTTTCTAAGCATCTTTTTAGGGGTGGACCGTTCGTCTATTTACATATTTTATTAAAATTATTCCATAGGCGCTTTAAGTAAAATATTAGTTCTAGGCCTATCATAGTAAAAAGTTTGGTTATATCTTGAATCAGCACGCGGTACTAAAAAATGTATCTTAGGAAGGAGACTATTACAATTTACGTTATTATGTATCAAATTATACAAAAATGATATAATTGACCATTTCCCTTCAAGAGAAATAATATCAAATCTGTCCAATAATATTTGATTATCAATACCCCTGGCGGAATAGATGCCATCTTCATTAAAAAGAATATATTTTAAAAATCGTTTTTGATCAGATTCTATACTATCAATGTGGCACTGATAAATTGGGAACCAAATAATTGATCCATATTCAAACTTACGTTTAATACAAAATTTAGTATTTACTTTTATAAAATCTTTACAATTCCTTAATATAAAACCAAAAGTCTTATTGGCATTACTAACTAGATAATTAATTTGAGTAACAAAGAAGATTATACAATCACTTCTTGAAATTGTAATATCATTAACTGTATAATCATAACTATATATAAATATGTTTATTCCTGGAAAATGATACTACATACCTAATATTTGTTTACAATGATTTGAATTACACGATTTGCTAATTAAGTTATAATTGATTCTGTAAATATAGGTTTACAATTTTCTTCATTCTCAATACTTGTATAAATTTTTAAATCATCTGCAAAAAGAAGATTATTGCAAGATATAGTATTCGGTAAATCATTAACAAGAGAAACGGCAAGGGCCCTAAATCCGAACCTTGTGGAACGCCAGAAGTAACTTTAAATTTTAACGAAGTGAAACTTTCACAATTAACAAACTGTTGTCTTTCTGTTAAGTACAATTTAAGAAAATGAATAAAATTATTTGATAACCCAATATTATCAAGTTTAGCAAGTAACGTAGTGCAACCTGGTCAAATGCTTTGCTAAAATCCATATACATATAACATCAATTTGCCCCTGGTGATCAATATTCTCGCATATGCATTGAGAAATGCATTCCAAGTTTGATACAGAAGAGCGTTCATTTACAAATCCATGTTGACGCTGGGAGAAAATATTTTTCGTATTAACATAAATATGTTCATAAAGTATTATTTCTAAGTTTTCAAAAATTAAATAAAATTCAAGCAGGCCTATAATTAGGAATTATAGAAGGATCACCTTTTTATGTATTACTGTGGATAAAGAGAGATTAAGTATAAATAGCAAAGGAACTACCACTAACACCTACCCACAGTCCTTCACAACAAAACTAGGTATAAAATCTGTGCCAGATGACATTTTATTTTATTATATATTAAGGGCGTTGAAAAAATCCACCTCAGCTATTATTGGTATATAGTGTCACATAAACACAACGAAAGTAATCAGCAAATCTTTCAGCAATGGCTTGAGCATGAGAGCCAGTTCATTGAACAAAGGGTATGATATTATGTAAAATCGTGGTTTCAGAAATACCAGGAATACATGGTTATGCCGAGGAATTTAGTACAAAAACCTTCCTACCCAACTACCAAAAGAAAACAGTAACCTAAAGTGATTCAATCTGTTTTAATTTCTAACCAAAAATAAATAATATTCTTATTTTTATTTAAATTTTTATATTAATTAAAACTATACAGAACGAATGCCCAGTAATAATAATGTAATTTTTGAAACTTGCAACATACAGCAAGAACTAGGAGGGCCGTGGCACCCCCTGCCCCATGGCTACACCCATGTGTTTCAGAATTATCATACCGAACATCATTAACTTTCATTACACCCGGAATATTAGAATGTCCCTTCTTATTTTTTACAAATGCCCAAAATTTAGACGAATCATATACAGGGTATCACGGTGCTTGATACAAAAACAAATAGATGAGATCAAAATAATATGAGTTCTCCATATAAATTTTTTTCATACAAGTCTTCCTTAACAAGTTACGGGCCCTCAAAGGTGGAAATTAAAAATTTATTTTTATTTACAGTCTCTAAAAACTATTAACTTCAGCATGATGCAAATTTGACGACCGATAACACATGCCTATAGCTTGTTTTTGATGTTGTAAGTGAAACTTCATTATGCCCACAACGCCAGGTACGATCTATGCCCAATGATTAACAACCCAGCATGTTTGCATAGATGACGATCGCAATCTGCCTTTATCAAAAATAAGTTCCCTGAAGAATTTGCCAATCAAAATACCCTCTTGGTTCTACTCGGTAAAATTAACAATTTAAGAAATATTTATGATTTTATGTCACGGTGCACATCGAGCGGCGCCTCCAGCATTTTTTGTTTTTAATTTTTAATTGGACATAATTACTATGTTAGAACCGTTCATGTTTTTAAAAAATAAGAGTCTAGAAAATCTTACAGTCTGTGAATGTAATTTTCATTAACAAAATTTGACAAACCCACTTTACATATAACAAAATAGAAAAAAAGAACAAGAATAAATTAAACTAAGTTAAAAAATAATTTAAAAGAAAGAAAACTATCAGAATACATTTTCAATATGGGCACTTTCCACGTCCATACACTTCCTAAGTCTACAAATATTATTTGTTAGAAGAAGAAAAATCATTTCTGGGGTATGTCTAATATTATCACAATGGAAATTAATTCTTTGTAGCGATTCATCCTTTGTCTGTACTGGGGTTGCGTACACTAAACTTTTCAGGTATACCGACAGCAAGAACTCCATCAGATTAGAGTCTGGAGAACGTGGTGACCATGAAATTGGGCCTCCTCTTCCAATCTGTTTATTATTAAACACAATGAATAAATAGTTTCGTACATCAATATTAAATGGGGAGGAGCGCCATCATGCATGAACCAAACGTTTCTTCGGGTGTCTAGTGGAACATCGTCTAATAGTGGCTGAAAATTATTTTGCAATAACTCCAAATATCGATGTCCATTCAGACGTTCTTCAAAAACGTATGGACCTATTAAATTATTACCCCAGAAAAGCTTTTTCGTGTACAAACAAATAACATTCGTAGACTTAGGAAGTATGTGGAGGTGGAAGGTGTCCATATTGAAAATGTATTTTCTTTCTTTTAAATTAATTTTTTAACTTCCTTTAACTTATTCTCGTTTTGTTTTTCTATTTTGTGTTTGTCAAAGTTTGTTAGTGAAAATTACATTAGTAAGATTTTCTAGGCTCTTATTTTAAAAATATGTACGGTTCTAACATAGTAATTAAGTATGTCCAATCAAAAATTAAAAACAAAAAATGGTGGAGGCGCCGCTCCATGTGTACTGTGATATAAAATCACAAATATTTCTTAAACTGATAATTTTACCGAGTTGAACCAAGAGAGTATTATCATCGTTGGCAGGGAACTTATTTTTGACGCAGGCAGAGTGCGATCGTCATCAATGCAAAAATTCTGGGTGGTTAACCATTAGGCATAGTCCATCCCTGACGTTCTGGGCATAACGAAGTTTCACTTACAACATCAAAAACAAGCTGTACGCATGTGTTATCGATCACCAAATTTGCATCATGCTGAAGTTAATAGTTTAGAGACTGTAAATAAAAATAACTTTTTAATTTTCACCTTTGAGGGCCCGTAATTTGTTAACGAAGGCCCGTATGAAAAAAACTTATATGAAGAACTGATATTATTTTGACCTCATATAGTTGTACTTTTTTGTATCAAGTACCGGGACACCCTGTATAATGAGAGTTCTCCATAAAACTTTCATATGACTTAAATGACTATATCTGTTAAAATATAATCGGTTTAAAACTTTTTATAATTTTTCAAAGCAGATTTGTTATAATTTCTTTAGTAAACCAAGGTGGAAAACGGCGACGAGGATTAATTTTTAATGGAACAGATTGATCAAAAACATTATTTAGTATATTATAAAAAACTTCACAAGCAATATTAATATGTATTTCCACTTTGTAATATTTTAGACCAGTCCGCATTCGCACTAATTCATTCATACATTAAAGGATAATTCGCATTTCTAAAATTATATTCCTATTTAAATACATTCTCGTATAGGTACTTACATTCCATTTTCTAAGAAAATATGTGAAATGATCTATTCGTTGTATTTAGTATTAAAATTTTTCTTCTTTTATTTAAAGCATTTATACAATTTTTTCTTTCTTTACAAGGCTGCTCCTACCATAAGTGATCCATACGCAGAAGACATGAAAAACAGAAACCAAATAGCATTAGAGTGTATAAATCAAGTAAACATCGACATTACAATAGTAAGGAATGCCGTTTCTAATCCAGATAAGATACCAACAGATGACAAATATAAGAAATTTTTGGCATGCAGCTATAAAAAGCAGAAGTTCCAATCTGAAAATGGCGAAATGTTGTATGGCAATATCAATGATTTCTTGGCACGATTTTATACTAGGGATCAACTGAAAATATTAAATCAGTGCAAAAGTATTACAGCTCAGAATGATGCAGAGATGGCTTACGCTTCATTACAGTGTATATTAAAATGCCTTCATGACATTGAAGAAACGGAGAGATAAAAACATTGTTTTTAAATAAACACAGAACTGTATTGGGCGTTTTTCTTCCATCTACACGTTGCACCCAGTACAGGAAAGTTTACAGCAGTTTAGAGCAGTGGACATGTATTACGTTTCTGCAGAAAGTTATTTATGTATTGTCTCAGCGGGTGATGAACAGATCGAATGCATTCAATAAAACAAGTAAAAACACAATTGTTGATTGAAATTTGACGCTTATTTAGTCCTCAAATCATATGATATAATAAAGAGGAAAAAATTGTGTGGATTAATCCACTAATAGTAGATATTAAAATAAACTTATTAAAGATTCCCAATTTAGTCCATACCACCCCGTGTTGGGAATTTAATTCGCTTAAAATCCAATTGGAAATACAATTTTTTCCCTTCCGAATGTGTTCTGTGTTTAATTCAGCGCAGGTACTGCTTTGCTCTCTTATATTTCATGAACTGTTGTTAAAAATATGTCTACCAATTATGTAGCTGAAGGCACTTACCTAAATTGCATAAATTCCGTTGATAAATGAGTTGATATTGCTCTGTGGTTGATATAGAAATTGTTAATACTTAAAGTAACATAAATATTTCTGTTTTGCTCGCTTTGCCTATAGTTTCCTAAATGTTTTTTTCTCGTAATCTAAAGGGTGTTTCAAAATTCACGCAAGAAGTAATTTTAATTAAAACACAGGTATTTAATTAAAAATTGTAATTTTCCTTATTGATTCATAAAGTGTACAGTATAGGGTTACACATGGAATAAAACGAGGTGATTCTAAAATATGTAGCCAACCTTATAGGGCAGAAACTAGAGGTCAAAATAGACTGTTTGAACTAATTTACCTAGATACCAAAATGCACCCCTACGAATTTCAGCCCCTTAAAGTTGAAACAAAAAAGAGTAAAAATACAAATTTCTCCTAAATGGTCTGAGGATATGTTTTTGAAATTTGGCACACGACTAATGCTAATAAATAGCCATGTTTCGAAGTGAATATCAGTAAAATGAATTGACGGCATGAGGGTAATGTAGGGGTCGCTCCTTGTCTTACCCTGTATTTTTTTATACTCCATATTTTTTTTCAATGTTCAATTTCGTACACGAATCTCGAGGTTTTCCAAATGGTGTAGAATAAAGAATAGAATAAACCAGGCCTTTAAGGTGACTCCAAAGGTAAAAATCACACGAATTAAGACCAGGAGAACGCGGTGGCCAAGCAATTGGTGCATTTTGGCAACGACCTATCCATCTTCTGGGAAAACTTTGATGCAACCACTTGCGTACAGTCAAAGAGTAGTGTGCTGGGGCACCATCGTGCATGAACCACATATTTTGCCTTGCCTGCAGTGGAACCTCATCAAGAAGGTCGTTTAAATTGTTTTTTAAAAAACTGAGATAATTTTGCCCTTTTAGGTGAGGCGGCATAGTGTGGGATCTTACATGGTAATGTCCTACAATACCTATCCATACATTCATACTGAATGTGTGCTGCTGGTGGAACTAGCACGTATCGTGAGGATTGTCTTTACTCGAGATATGTGTAAAAGTAACTCTTCTAGGAAAGTTTTCAGGCAGCAACTCTTGTACTTTTTGAATATGGTACGGCTTGAACTGTTGCTCTCGTAAAACTCGCCACATTACAGATTGTGATATATTACCTTGTAGGCGTCGAGAAATTTGTCAGTTTTTAATAAGCTTGTTTTAAATAGCCTACTGTCCAATGATGCTACACAAGCCATCAAAATATGGAGTATAAAAAAATACAGGGTGAAACTAAGAGCTACTACCCCTACATCACCCCCCGCCGGCAATGCATTTTATTGATATTCACTTCAAAATATGGCTATTTATTAGCATTGGTCGTGTGCCAAATTTCAAAAAAATATTTTCAGACATTTAGGAGAAATTTGTATTTTTACTTTTTTTTTTGTTTCAAATGGGGGTTGTAACTCGTTAGGGGTGCATTTTGGTATCTCGGTAAATTAGTTCAAACACTCTATTGTGACCTCTAGTTTCTATCCTATAAAGTTGGCTACATATTTTAGAATCACCCTGTACAGGCTGTTACAAATTCGCTTTTCACTACAGGGATCTCGGAAACGGTAAGAGATACGAGGTAGCTTAAAATGGGGCAAAATTGCATAATCAGGGGACGAACATTATGCCTCAAAAATCAAGGCTAGCATGATTGGTTTTCGAAATATTTGAAAAAACCGAAATTTTGGAAATCCGTTTTTGTTTAATTTCAGCCTTGTTTGAGGTGATATTGAAAAAAGAAGAAAACTTTCTCACGGCAACTTTTTGCCCTCTATCGAATGGCATAATCAATTTTTATAAGTAACATTTCGTCCATCCAGGACCATCAACATCATCAACTTCATTTTTTTAAATACGACCGTGGAAATTTTATTACATTTTTTGCAAGCCTTCATGACTCCCAACAGTGTACTGCATCAGCTCGAACCAGATTCAGATGTCTCTAAAAATTCGTTTCAATGTATTCGTTAAAAATTTATCTAATTTTTTAATTTAGATTTCCATGTTTATTGAATTATCGTACACTCTAAGTGTCGTTAGACTACTACCATCACATGATACAATAAAACATTATTAGAGTTTTAATCTTCAGCAACATACATAATTCGATAAGTTGTTGCGTCAAAATTAAAATATTACCTACTGCAATTTTAATTTTTTTATGACAAATTAATTCTTAAATAGCATATGAACAACCATAATTCCAAATAAATATTATACTTTAAAAAATTCCAGTAAATGTTCAACAACGTTTCCGTTTTGGCAAATGTTGAAAATGGAGATAAGCATAATACGATCAGAACTTATTATATCTGTAACCGCAACTGTGAGAGAGAACCGCAAGAGCATGTCAGATGTATTTGTATGAATATACTGAAAAAAATTAGATCGAAAATTGTTTGAATTTTGAGCACTCGAGAAACCTAGGAATAACTATGAGCACGGGATTAAAACTTTAATAATTTTTTACTGTAACGTGTAATGGTAATAGTTTAAAAAACTAAGTGGAGTTCACAGGGTCTAGCGACACTTAGAGTGTACGATAATTCAAGAAACATTGAAATCTAATAAAAAAAATTAGATACATTTGGAACGAATACATTGAAGATGAATTTCGAGACAAAACGTCTGAATTCTGGTTCAAGCTGAGGCAGTGCAATATTGGGGGTCATGAAGCCTTGCAAAAATGTAATAAAATTTACACGGTCGTATTAAACAAAAACGGATTTCCAAAATTTGTTTTTTTTTTCAAATATTTCGAAAACTGATCATGTTAGCCTTGATTTTTTAGGGGCATAATGTTGGTCCACTGATTACGCAACTTTGCCCCCATTTAAGCTACTTCGTATCTTTTACCGTTTCCGAGATCCCTGTAGTGAGAAGCGAATTTGTAACAGCCTGTATNGAAGGCCTCTCATAGTCACCGCCCGTTTCGCCCTTCCGCAAATAAGATCCACTTCTTATTTGTGGAAGGGCGAAATGGGCGTTGACTATTAGACGCCTTCATTATAGCCATCCTTGTCTATCACATGGATTTCTATGGCTTACTTTATCGCTCTCACGTAACTTCTGATAGACCATCGGTACTTTCCTACACTGTATAAGGTAAATGGTCTCCACGTTTTTGCTGACACGTACGTATTCGTTTGTCGAAATTTTCCATGACCGTTTTTCATAAATGCGGCCGGATTTCGTAGATACAGCTCATAATTTCCTCCTTCAAAGCGTGGCATAAACGTCAAATTTCAAAAAACCCCAAAAACAAAAGTCCAACGGCATTAAATCGCATGATCTGGGCGGCCAATTCTGATCACCAAAACGGGAAATTACAGGACCAGGAAATAACTAATGAAGTAATTGAATTGTTTCTTGGGTTGTATGGTATATGGCACCTTCTTGTTAAAATCACATGTGTCTACATCCATATCTCGCAATTTAGGCACAGAAAATTGTATTACCATGTCGCGATAACGAGCACTATTAACTGTTATTGCCTGACTACCGGCATTTTCGAATAATGGTGCCGAATTGATGTTCCTGGATTCTCAGCAACACTCTCACGAACTGCTTCGATGTTTTGTGTTCAACGACTTGTTGAAGGACGGCCAGAGTGTTTAAGATCACTAATCGTTCAAGTCTTCCTGAATTTTTCAATTAATCCCTTCAGAGTTGATGAAATTAAATTACTATTTCGACCATATTTTTTTATGAAAATTGTGAACTGTAACTGCCAAACGCATTTATCTTTTGTGTAAAGCTCCATTTTTAATTACCATGAACTATCAACTGTCACCATGGGCGTAGCTAGGGGAGGCAGGGGGTGTGCATGGCCCACCCCAGAAAGCTCAGTGCCCACTACAAAAAAAATAGTTCTAATATTATCATCTTTGTCACATCGGTAAGTCGGTGATTGCGTGCCCTTTTTTTAGAATGAAACAAAACGTGCTGTTGAAATAATTTTTTTTGAGGCTTCCATAAAGCTTGCAACCCTGGGCCTACCCCAAACAAAAGTTGAAGGTACGCCCATCACTGTAATGATATTTTTTTTGTTGGCTACCCTTTACCGCACAAATGGCGTAAAAACAAAATCTTGCGTCAGTTTTGGGACACCCAATATATTCTGTAGAGTAATGTGTATGTATTTATTGATTTAAAATGAAGTTAAAAGGGTACCTAATTAATTTTACAATTTTTTCTATTATTGTTAACGTTAACCCAACCGCATAGTGTGTTATCGGGTCTGCGGTTCTACCGCAAGATGTTTTTTCTGACCGCAACGTCATTGTGCGGTTAAATCAGGAGGTAGTCTTTCTGTGGCGCAACCAGCTAGTGTCTCTAGTGGGCCGCGTGTTGCAGTTGTAGAAAAAAAAAACATATATTTTCTTACGTCAACTCCACATTTGTGTAGATGAATATTCGTAAATTTGTGAATATTCACTAGCGGATGTTCGTATAAGAATATTTGCATAAGCAGTATATCCCTACGTATCACAAATT